TCGGATGCTCCAAAATTTTGTCTTCTAGCAATCCACTTCCTTACCCAGACAGATCTTTTCTTTTTTTTACTCTTTTTTTCTAAATCCGATTTCATATCTTCAATCAAACATTTTAATACTATTTTACAAGCATGACGAAAATGTAATTTTTTTTCAGCCGACATTTTAATTAATTTAAAATATAATTGTAAGTATAATTAATATAAAATTTGTAATAATAATCGAAACACGGAACTACAATAGTTGTACAAATTTACAATGAATAATATGAAATGGCGAGAGTTTGGTGAAATACTGTGTAAACAGTTACTGGCGATACATGTTTACTGGCGTACATGATGGCGCCACAAAAAACATGCACGTGTAAACCCAGCATAAACATGCAACAGAGTTACTGCCAGAGTGGAATTTTGTGCTCTAGCGAACTCTAGTGTCAGAGTACTTTATCTACCGTGTAAATACCTCGAAATCTTATCTGGTTTATTTGGTTGCTATCGCTATCAATCCGATTGTCGGCTAACCATATTTATAACTCTAGAACATAGTTTCACACGTATATGATAATTGATAGTTTGATATTACATAAATAAAGCATCTACTACTGTAGACATATTAATATATACGTATTGTGTTTAATATATTAATATTAATATGTCTATATCTAGTACCTAGTTTACTAGTCAATATTTATTTTCTAAATACTATTGAATAAAAATGGAGTCCGACGAAAAAAAAAGAAGATTCGTTTTTTATAAAAAACAAAAAGCTCGTAAAGCTCGATTAATTCAAAGACCATGGTCAAAATATGTTATTAATGAATTAATATCTCTTTATGAAGATAAACTAATTCTATAGGATGTATTGTTAAAGGGATATCGTGAAACTCTGAATAAATACATGAGTGACTGAGTACTAACACCTGTAATTTGATAAAAATTATTGCTAATCAAAATACATTGCTTTTTATATATTTATGAATAAATAATCAGAGTTATATCAATTTTATAATTTAATATAATATAGAAAGTTGTTTGAAGAATTATTTTTTAAATAAAAAAAAAAATTATTATACATTATGTATATTATAATTGACTAGAATACCAATATTTAAATACTTTTAACTAAATTACTTAACTCTGTTTAATAAAAATTTTATTAAACAGATAAATAAAAAGGTATTTACAAACTAAAAATCTTACCAGATGCTAAATAACGCATGGCTATTTCTAAACGTTCCCCATCAGAAATAGCATCTCTCATACATGTATTTTGTTTTGTAATAAATGGACCTACAATACTCAATAAATAATCAAAATCAGATGATGACATACGTAAAAATATTTTGTACATTGCAGATTCAGCACTTTTTAATTCTAAATTAATTTTTTATAAAATCCATATTTTATCCTTTAAAAAAAAAAAATGTTTTTGTTCACTCAGCTCGTTTATTTTTTCTTTTATTTTATTCTTCCTATTTTGGTTCTTCATCTAATAATAAATAAACAACAATTGCAGTTGCTGTTCTGGTTTGAACAGACATGGTACCTATTGTTCATTGACTATTTTTATTAAATATGTACTTTATATATATTTTTTTAATATATAGAGAAAATTGTATAATCATTCGGTAATCATTATCACTAGTTGTCTAGTACAACTCTAGACAGATAAACATAAAAATGTCAGGTGTAAACACGTTGCAGAGTTTATGGCAGAGTAAATTACCAGAGTTCTCTGGCAACGCAATTGTCAGTGAAAAAAGTGACATATATTTATGTACATGTAAAGTGTGTGGCAGATTTTAACCAGCTCTATCATCAGAGTTCTGGCAAAAAAACTCTAGCGTGTGCAAAGGCCTTAAGTGTAAGCACTACTTATTACGATGAATGCCGTACGAAAAGTGTTAAGATTTTTAAACCTGTTTTACGAGCTTCGACGGTTACGACGCTCGCTCGATCGAGCTTTGTTCGCTCTCGTTACCGATCCGTCGACCGAGTCCGACGTATCTTATTTTTTATGTACCCCCGTCTACTACGCCATTTTATTCCTTTTTGTATATTTATTTTATTTACCCGTTCCGTTTAACGAATTGTTTATTATTACTAAGACAAGTTTTTTGTTTAATATACGTAGGTACGTACATTTTCATAAATTTTACCGCCTTCGTATATCTTTATTTTGACTACCCTTCTGTGAGTCATTTGTGATGAGTGGTACACACCAGAACATATTTTAACGTACAAAGTACGTGGCGCTAGTGCTTCCTAGTGATAATTGAATGCCATCCCGTGGTGGAGTTTCATGTCACTAACTTACACATTCTCATAACGACCGTAATGACAGGAATTGATTTTCCTTAAATGTTCCTCTGATAGACAATTTTGGTGAAGTGCCACCCAGTGAAAATTACTTAAAATATGTTCTGGTATACACCAACCCAGTGGCGGCTCGTGCCTAGGTGTGCAGGTGTGCGCACACCACATAGATTATCATAGATCAGGGATGGTAAATAGGATTTTTTTCAACGTGCCAATCTATGACATAATTAAAAAAAAAAATTTTTAGCCGTGCCAAAATTATTTTTATTAACACAGAAAAATACAAATGAAATATATAAATGAAAAAATAATGATTATAATATAGAAAGTTATGTAGAAATAGAAATAATGTAAAAAAATATTAAATTATTATTGTTGTTTGTTAGAATACAACTTCTAGTTGAAGTGAACACACAATTCTAGTAATCTAGTGTCCCACTATATTACAACGTATAATTTTTTTTTTTTTAATAATAAATATAAGATAACAATACGTGGTTGTGAAATATGTACTATTAATATGTGTAATTGATAATTCAATTTATTATGTTTTACTTAAAAAACCTATAAATATATATAGACAAATAAAATTTTTTTGAATGCCATAGAAAATCTCATGCGTGCCACTCATTTGTCACCCCTGTCATAGATATAAAAGTAAAATTTAAATTTAAATGTAATTTAATTATCTGCTAAATTATATTTATTTTATTAAGTATACAAAATAAATTTTACAAACATTTCATATTCACCAAAACTCGAAAATACTACTCCTAAAATTTGGTAAGTTATGTAATATACACACATCAACTGGTGTGCAGCTCAGTCAGAACACTTTCAGTCTGTGAAATACTCTCCGTCGTCGGTGGAGTGGGGGTTGACGCATAAATGGGTCCGTGGTGTGCAGCAATTGCTGCACACACGGTAAACAATATCGCCACGGCGTGTCTTATCAGAAGTAGTCCACCGTATTTTCTATTTTCGTCATTATTATCGTAAAATTTGTTCCAATAAAAGTATTTTTAGTTTTAACAAAAGAACTTTATAATAGTAAAATATGTTAGTAATCATTTCGCCTTTGTTCATTGTTATGTGTAGTAGCTTTATTTCATCATACTCACAATTTCATTTATATTACAATATAAATAATGAATTCGGTTGATTATCTTTTAGAAAAAAAGTTTCCTTTACATTCAATTGACGAAAAAATTAAAATAAAAACATTAGGGAGACCAGTGCCTGATTTGAAATTAATACAAGTCATTAAAAAGAAAACACGTCAATTTACGCGTTCATTTACCATTGATACTTACACGAAGTATAATAATTGGCTCTGTGGTTGTGATAAACGTAATGCAGTTTTTTGTTTTCCGTGTTTATTATTTGGTAGAGAAATGGTATGGACCAAAACAGGAATGACATATTTAAATCATTTAAATGATCGAATGAAAAAATATTACTTAACTGTTAAACATATGAACAACAAATTGAATTTAGCAACGTTAGGTAAAACAAATGTTCTTTTAATGTTGGATAGCAGTTACAAAAGAGGTATTTATTTATATACTTTATTTATATTACTGTTTGGTCGTTTAAAAATGTATTTTTTTATTTAGGTATAGAGCTACACAATGAGAAAGTTTCAAACAATCGATACATTTTGAATGAAATTATTAATTTCATTAGATTTTGTGGAGCTTTCGAATTAGCATTGAGAGGGCATGATGAAAAAGATACATCTTTGAATTCAGGATTTTTTCGTGGTTTAATAAGTTTTAGTGCGGAATTGGATAGTGCATTAGAAGTGCATTTAGAAAAAGCAAACGTTTTTAAAGGTACGTCAAAAACTATACAGAACAAATTATTAAAGTGCATGTTAAGTATTTGTCAGCAAGAAATATCAGTAGAAATCAAAAAGGCTGATTATTTAGCAATAACAGCTGACGAGACTACTGATGTGAGTGCTATTTTTCAAATGGTTATTGTTTATCAGTATATAGTTAATGATAAAGTTATTGAAAGATTTCGGGGATTTTTAAAGCCTAAAGAACATAATTCTGAAGTATTAGCTGAGTGCATTAAAGAACAACTTACCCAACATATTGGTGATGTCACTGGTAAATTGATTGCACCGACGTATAATGGCGCTTCAGTTATGAGCGGCAATATTAATTAACGGAGTTCAGGCAAAAATTAAACAACATTATCCAAATGCTAATTATGTATATTGTTACACTCACCAGTTTAATTTAGTTATGGCTAATGCTGCTTCAATAAATAGGAATGTTCGGATTTTTTTGCTAGCCTTGGAAGTTTTTGTACATTTTTTTCAACGTCTTCTCAAAGAACTGCTGTTTTGGACGAAGTTGTTCGAAGACGTTTACCTAAAGTAGTTCATACAAGATGGAATTTTCTTTCTAGAACAGTAAATACTGTATTCGAGTATAGGGAAGAATTAATTAATTGCATGGAAAAAATAATAAGTGATGAATCCATTAAACATATACCTACTAATGAACAGGCATCGAGACTAAAAAGAACATTACTTGATAATACATTTATTTCTTGGCGTACAATTTTTCATAATATTATGCCTCATGTCGATATATTGTATAGTCAATTATAAAAAAGAGAAACTGATTCAACAACTGTGAAAAATAATATTGAAAATTTTAATAAAGAGATTTCCAAAATAAGAAACCAAATGGGAACGTTATGTGAAGGTAATTTTGAACAAAGTGGTGATAAAAGAAAACACAGAGAAGGCGAAATAAAACGAGAAGCAATTGAAATGTATGATAATATTATATCTCAAATAAAACAAAGATTTGATTTTACTGGTCATCTGGTTGCTTCAAATTTATTTTTGGCCGATAATTTTGAAAAATATCATAAGCATTTTCCGGAAGATTATTTTAATGAAACTTTAAATGTATATCCATATTTTGACACTAAAAAACTAAAAACCGAGTTACAATTAATTTATAGCAGAACTGAATTTTAGATCCATGAGTGGAGCTGTTTTATTATTATTTATTAATTATACAATTATACATTATTATCATTTATACAATCTGAAAACCTTATTGGTACATTAGGTGTGAGCATGAAGCTGTTAACAATTATTATTACAATATCAATGTCTACAGCGGAATCAGAAAGGTGTTTTTCTACATTAAAAAGAATCAAAACATTTTTACGTAATACAATGCATCAAGACAGATTATCGACGTTAGAATGCTATCCATCGAAAGAAACTTTGTAATGAATATAATAAAATATTATTACAATATACAATATAACTGATTTCAATAATAAAGTCATAGAACAATTTGCCAATTCCAAGGAGAGAAGAATTGACTTTATATAAAAATATTTAATTTTTTTGTGTAACTTCTTTCTATAATTAATTATGACACTGTTGCTTATTGTAACAATATATAGATACAATAAATTATGACAAATATGTAATATTATAATTCATAATACATGTTTTAAAAATATGTAAAAATCTAATAAATATCATGATAATGGCATTTTGAATTTAATTTATTAGTAATTAAACTGTTGTGATTTATTTTTTGCACACCACCTACTTTGAACATCACGAACCGCCACTGCACCAACCCAGAAGCGGTTTTCCCGGGGAGGCAAGGGAGGCAGTGCCTCCTTTGAAAGTACAAAAAACTACACGGTTAATGTTATTTAAATTATTAAATATGTTTTGCTTATAATTTCAAGCATAGACACGTTAATAAAAGGGAAATTAATAAAGATAAATATAAATATAAATTTAAATTATGTATTGAACGGACTATGGAGTATACCGTGCACGGTTTCGATCTTTCAAGTCCGTGGTACTCATCAACTCATGGGTAAGAGAATGCCCAAGTGCCTGTGCGGCGTGCCACACTGCCGCGTGCAGTGTGCACAACAGGCGAATATAATATTGTTTATAGTAATATCATTGATTAAATCAATATTTAATCAATGGTAATATACTAATAATTTGACATACTGTATTTCTATACAATAAACTAGGTTACGGCTGCCCCTCCATACATCCCGTGTCGGCGGTTCCCCACTTTCTCAGGAGGCAATCGCTGTCACAGTTATCGATACGTTACATGTGTATACAAATTTACACACACAAACGCACATAAAATATGCTAATAGCGCATGCGCAATTCTCCGCGGAGACTGCACACTACCGTTGCCTCCGTCAGAAAACGTCACATGCTGTGACTCACAGCGGCTGACCGATAATTATTATTCTAACTTTTGGGTACAAACAGAGTTTAGGCGTTCTCCATGTTTTGTGTGTACAAGTTATATTATTATTCTTTAAATCATATTATGATTATTTAATCCCTACTTTTTACTATTCCACGTTATCACTTAATGAGTTATTATCAAATATCAATAGCAATTGTAATATGTTTATTATTTTGTACTATAACGTTTTGTAATATAAAATTCAATTGTTTTATTTTCTGTTGTATTTGTTTAGGTAGACGATTAGGTAGTTCATACTGTGAGTTGTGACTTCTGAGAACAAAATAAAGCATTCTAATTTCAAATTAAAATTATTAAAGTGATTAGTATTTTTTTGTTTCAAGTTGTTTTTTCATATTTTTTAAAAATGAATCCAATTTATGATCCGATTGTATTGCTTTTAGAACATCCTTACAGACGTTGGAGTACATGTGACAAAAACGATTTACTTAGGCAAGGTAAACCAACTCCTTCTCTGACGTATTTATCTGCAGACAAAATTGGCTCAAAAGTATTTTGTAGGTCTTTCAATTCCAACGTTTATACTAAACATCCTTGGATATGTGGAAGTTTTTATTTACAGAGGTTATTCTGTTGGCCATGCTTTTTATTGAGTCAGTCAAATTCTGTTTGGATTACATTAGGCTATGCTGATTTTTACTAGGAAGACACTAGTCAATTTAGAAACTAAAAATTGTTATTATTTAGGTCAATAAATTTTTTTGAAATTTTTCTTTTGCATCAATTTTGTAAATATTCAACTATTTGTAACTCAAAACTAAAGAGACACTTTATAGGGTTTGTGTCTCAGTTTTGTATAAATTATAGATGTATATAGTATTTTGATATTATAATTATAATTTATATACAATATACCTACCAGTAATGCCAAATTGTAACTTAGTAGTTAGCGTTTAATTATGTATTATAGTGAAAATGAAACCGTTCTCTGACAGATTTTTAAAGAAAAAAATTGTATTTAAACAAAAATGAGTTTTTAGGACTGTGCGATTCGCTTTAATAAGTCCAGATGGGTAGGAACAAAATTGTTGCCTCCTCAAAATTTTAATGCCAGAATCGCCACTGCACCAACCACACCGCATACCACAAGACTATATATTACTATGACAATTATACAATTTTAAAATATGTCAGTATGATAGTACAACAAGGAAGCCAACATATTAGGCACGTACTGATCCTGTCCAGGTATCTATGTGTCGTGTGCCTACCGATTTTTCGTAAGAAAAGATTATCAACAATTTCGAACTATTTTTTTATACGTATTATAAAAGATAAAACATACAATTTATCATTTGTTTTTTACAATTTTGGTAATATGTATACATATGCCGATGGTGTGTGCGAAGGGGATGCCTAGTGGCATTACTTTAATGAATACACACTATTTTGAACAATAAAATACATTTTCCAGATGTTTCGAACACGATATTATTCTACGTATCTACGTGGCTTTTTGTTGTCATCTCTAGTGTTTGGCCATGACAATGGTCAACGACAATCGGTTGAATTGAATTACTGCTACAACAACCGGACTCATCTGACAACATTCGAAGAATATCAACGACTAAATTTACAATACGCCATTCGGACATGGTGATAGGTAGAGAGGGGAACCTGTATCGATTTACCGAGGCGGTCGTATTATGAAAATTAATGTTTATTTTAGAGAAAAATAAATTATGTAAGTTACATTATACTACTATTGATTCAATGATAATTGTTGGCACATAAGTTTGATAAAAACTTTGAGTTTTAACATTATATAAAATCAATTAAAGTTGGTTTAACAAAAGATTTTCAAGTTCTCGAGCACTAATTTTACATTAATTTTTGCATACTCGGTTCAAAGGCGGATTTCCCATTGGGCAATGTAGGCAGTTGCCTAAGGCGGCAATATTTGTGGTAGAAAATTATGTAGTGTTTATTAAAAAACATCAAACGTATAAAAAAAAATCGGAAAATTAATTACTTTATATTAATTATATTAAATAGCAAAATTAAATTTTGTGTATGATATCGGAGTAGTGCAGTGGCGTCATTTGGACCGCACAGGGTATACATTTGTGTATTTAAAATCCATTAGTGTAGTAATTTGGCCCACTTTATAAATTTATTGGCCTGAATAATTATTGATAGTGGCTTGCGGTCAATATATTTTATTTCTTAATTAATATTTTGTTTTTCTTCTTATTTAAAAACAAAAACATGAGACATTACGTTACAAAATTATCAAAATATTCCTTATCGCGATTATTCGTAAATCGTTATCATGCAACATTTGTGTAATTACTATAATTTTATTTTATTATCTATCAGCTTTTATTAACCATCAACGTCTAGCCTATTAACAATAATTCATATTTTATAATGATAATTATTAATAATTGAAAATATTAAAACATTACCTAAATAATATTTTATGTGTTGATATTTTATCTGTAAATAAGTTTGCAAGCATGAAGATGCGTCGGTATCCTCTTAAATATTAACAAAAAATATAACTATATAACTGTAACTGTACCTTATAAACGCTTTATTACAATATTTATTATCACCTATGGCTTTACTGCTTTTCTTAGTTAAATGATTTAATAAATACTATTATTTTTATATTGTCATTAATAAATGGTAAAAATATTATTTTTTTATTTTTTTTTTGGGCTGAAAATTCTAGATAAGCTTTAAGTTAAGTTTCGGTGGAAACCATTTGGTGCAAATAAAATGGGCGCCATCACACCTTTTTTATAACCCATTTGCGCCCGAAATATTTTTAACAAAAATGTATTAAGCCCGTGCAACGTTGCCAAATTGTATTCTGGAATACAAGCAATAGAAGCAATTATTAAGTTAAAACTATTGAACATAATAATGGGCATAATCGAGTGAAAATAATCAAGTTGGTAGTCGATTATTGATAATAATTGAGATATGGTGCCCGGGCGCCTAATATTACATATTATCAGTGGTGAAATACGAGTATTTAAGTTGGGGAGACATTAAAATAATATGTTACACCCCTCCCCCATTTATAACTTTATATGTATTTATAATAAAAGAGACACTTCCAAGCCCTGATTATTAATATTATTTTTATTGAATATCGTTGTCGTTGGAATTTTGGGGAAAATAAATACCCACACTGCCACATTATATTACCAATTCGACTGTATACTAATATTCCTATGCTGTTATTATGAAAATTTGTTTTTATTAACATTTAGTGGACATCCATAGACATTTATTTCAAAGTAGACTAATTAATAAAAGTGAAAAAAATTATCTAAAAATTAAAATGGATGTTGGTACACATATGTCTTTATATTTAATATTTAGATTAGGTATTTTGAAAGGGGTAATATAGCTTCTTTGCCTATTATAAGGGTGTCAAATTTTCGGTGCCTATAGCCGTAAAAAAAAGATAAATCCGCCTCTAATACTGTTGATGGTTTTCCGAAATAATATTTGAGGTTGAGCTTATATTGCAGATCAATAATTTACCATACGTTATAAGGGGACATTAAACACTAGTAAACCAGAATATGAATCAGAATAAATAAAATAAAATGAACTTTCAATAATATTTAAAAATAAAAATAAAATATGTTGTAATACCAACAGAAAAAAAGTTGTTGGTTATTTATTATGTATCGGTTACGTTGTACCCTACTCAATTGCTGCTCGTGGTAAATTTTAAAACGGGCTCCGCTTTAATTTCATAATTTTGAAAAACGATTATTTATATTTTTTTCATCAGTATGATGAAAAAAATTATTTTTACATTTATACTAATTATAATTAGTATAAACATAAAAATTAATATGTATTCACTATTGTAACTTATATTCACTTAATGTTGCTCAATCTTCCTAAAATGTTGAACACCACTGAAGTAACACATAATATTATGTTCATTAAGATTTCATTCGTTGTAGCATTGATTATATATTACTGCTGTAGTTTGAAGAATAGGATTAATGGTCTACTTGGAAATGATAAAACCTTTAATCCTTCCTGCAATCGCACCAAATTATCATTAATTAATTTTTATCCTTTTAGGTCCTATTTTAACAAAACGTGTAGGTATATTTAATAAATTGTAATGTATACATTATAAAATAAACAAAATTTTAATTTTTTTATTTAATATTATGATATTGCTCAGGGGATCTGCTAAAAAAAATCCAATAAAAATTAAATTCAAATATTCTAATCAAAAGTAATCCGAATCATTACTAATGCCCCTCCGTATATATCAAATTTCACATTTCATAATGACCTAAAATTCCTTATATCAAAGACATAGCTAAACAACACTAAAACAGATTTCATTCCCGCCTTCCTCAACATACCAATTCCTTCATTTCAAACCTTTATTCCCACTCACTTTCCGGCAACCCTACTCAAAGGCTAAAACGACAATGGCCCAGGGACTTCCTCCACTTGTAGCGATAATAATTTTGTATTATTCTTTATTTTATTTATGTTTTTCTCTTATTTTCTTTCTCTTTTTTTCTATAATTTAATGTGCAAATAATATAATAATACACGCTGAAGCGCTATCAATGGATAACATCTTCAACCTATGTCCTCAGAACCTTTTATTTACACCCCACCCATTTCTTATTATAACTCGTATATGTAACAGATAGTTGATTTTTCAAAATTTAATACACAAAAAAAAAATAAAAATATTATCATATAATATATTATAATATATCAATCATTACATACTAATATTATTAATCCCAGCGAATATGTTTTGAATTTCGTATATTTTTCTCAAATACTTTAAATTATTTATGATTTGTACTTTTATAGTCTTTTATAGCTGTTATATTATTATAATATGTTTTTGGATGAAAATTTAGTTTTATTTTTTCTATAATGAAACAAAATGTATTTTTTACCAAATATTTCAAAATAAATTTAATTTAATATGAACATCAGTTAAAATACAGGCTCCTTACTCTTAGACTTAAATTCTAGTGCCCCATTTACAACATTTTAAGACATGGGCGTATTTATGGGGAGGGCCGAGAGGGCCCGGACCCCCTCTGAAATGAAAAACACAATTTTTAAAGATTATTATTTTTAACATGGATATGTCTTAATGCTGGGTGTTTCCGAAAATTTGTCGTGACACTGAGAATGTTGCTTATGCGATAATTAAAAATTTTATACTTATGAAGTATGTTATTCTTTTAAAAAAATATGTGGTAAATTGTGACTCTAATAAAAAATTTGTTTATTACAATGTTGTTTTTATATTTTTAAAAAAATAATAAATCATTAAAAATATTGAGTTTCTTATTTCTCTAATGGTGTAAAGACAATCGCGAAATCTTTTAGTGTTAAAGTAATTTTTTTCGTAATATTGTGCTCTCTCCTTCCTTTCCACCCAAAAATCAAATACATAATCGGCCCCCTCCGAAATGAAAACCTATATACGCCACTGTTTTAAGGGGTGTCCGGGTACATAAGGTATCCCTGTGCGCACGCCTATGACATACATGCTTGATAATTTCATCGGCAGTAGAAGCACTGATTAATAAAAGAAGTTATTTTTAGAAATATTGTATAGCATTTGCTCTGGAAAATACAATGGCATCTGATTGATGTCTGATGACAACACGATAACAATTTCATTAGATACAATTGACAATTATTATTATACCTTTGTTTGAACTGACGACTGTAGTACAACTGATTGCTCAATACGTCCTAATCAATTTTTATTCTAAATACAAGTATTTCATAATTTTGTTTAATACATTTTTATATTTTTTCATATAATTACTTAACTGTAGCAGTACATTGTGTCAAGAAACACATCAATGTTTTTTAAAGGTAAGATAACGAATAGTTGTCATATTACTATTATATTAATTCGATTTTATTAAACTCAAGTCAAACTGTATGAGGCAATTTTTATTTTTTAATTTTTGTTACATATAATATGGATTAGTAGGTAATCAAATCAGTTATTAGAAAATATGAAACAACTGAAAATATTTTATTTAATGATAAATCATCCGAAAATACTTAACAAATTATAAAACAGACAATAAACCGATTTTCAAAACATATCAAACTATTGGTTCTAATAAAATAAATCAAAAAATTCTTCCGTCTTAAAATACGAATGCAGTATTTTTACTATAAAAATTAAATTAAATTAAGAGTAAAGTGTATAATTTATTTTTTGATTATCAGACATTTTTATTCCCTCCTAAATTTCGATTATCGCATTATGGAGTATAGATTACGCGCTCGTATCGGTTCGAGAACACCAATTATTTATGTTGTCGTGCAGTGTTGTTGTTGGCAGCAATTGGATATACGTACGGTCAACAACTAAATAATAATATAAATATGTAAAATACAAAGAAAATTAAATTAATACTACTATGGTGTGTTATTAATATTAGAGAAAAACGAATACGTGTTTACCCAAAGCGGTTCTCCGATATCTTATCTGCACACTGTCGTTGTGGTCGTATTATTTCATAGTCGCCGCTATTGTCCGACGACATCGCCCTTTAGTTTGCTGCACGTACTTCCGCGATGAACACGTATGATTCGTTTCACGTGCAGTTCCGTTATATGTTCGGCGCACTGCCGGTTCTGAAAATTATCAATAACCGCGTCCTGTCGGTTTATTAAAAACGATCACCTATTTTTAGAGTAAAAGTGTTGGTAATGCGACCATTTGTATGTGCGATCAGTCGCTGAGGTGTCTGTGAACAAATGGTTTTCTTTCTTTTCCTCACAAGTATTTTCTGTACTGATTGTGGTTTCCAGCATCGCAGTACTATTGAATAATATTAATTATTATTAACTGTCCATGTGTTCGGGCGTTTTACGTACACGTTACTACTGTACACCTTACCATTAGATATCGGGTTTTTGGAAAGGGTCGTTCGTCATAGTATTACAATACTCCGTGTGAGAGCCGTTGCCGCTATGGAAGAATCACTGTTGTCATTCGTAATGCGCAATGTGCCGGACGAATGGGAGGACGTTCCAGTGTACAACAAAAGTTACGAGTTATTCACGGTGCCTCCCGGGCTGTACTCCCGCGAATATCAGAAGGTCGAGCAGTTTTTTCACGGCATAAAAATCGGTCGCATTCAAAGGGTTCAAAACCCGTTCCAGTACGGCCGGTACATGCTGAGGCGTGAGATGGTCCGAACTAATTACGAAGTGAGTGAAACCGATCCAGTAGTATTGCTGATTTTTATACTCTTGCGAATTATTTAGGAAATTGTGTTTCACGGCGTCCACCGCGACGATATCGACACAGCGTTGAAGTTTAACTGCGATTACAGGCGGTACACAAGAACACGAGTTGTAGCTCATTCAGATGGTCAACATCCCTTGTTCTACAACTCCGTTTCCGATTTACTCAACAATGCGGGATATCACATCAGTGACTTAAGAGTCTTGGTATTAAGAATATTGACCAGAAAGCCAAAAACTCAATGTGATTACTATATCGAATATCTTGTGAGGTTTTAATATTTTTCTTCCTTGAATTTTAAAATGACTATAATAAGTATTAAAAGTAAAATACAATTATTTTAATCATAGAATAATAATTCGATGATTTTTAATTTTTAACAAAATTATACATTTACTTAATTTACCTTAATTAACCTAATTAAAATATTTAAATTTATCTTTACACCAAGTAAAATATATTTAAATATTTTTAGTAAGCTGTTACCTACCAATTATAACATTGTTTACAAAAGTATAATTATAGAAAACTGCTTATATAGTACAAAATTGTACTAAATGTAATTTTTAATTTACATGATTAGTCATGGATAATTATTTAGGTATGAAAATAAAAGTATTTATTTATCTATAGACAATTTTGTGCAAGCTTATTGTTTTTTTTTTTTTTTTTTAATTTTGATTGAATAATACCTTATTTTTTTTTAATACTATGATTTATATATATTTTTATTTATTTGTATCATTTTATATAAGTATGTTAAAATAAAAACTATCTATGTAGTATTTTTCACACTAATTTAAAAAAATCTAAAAGTATATTAGTAACTAATTAACTGCGTGTCGTTGGCTATTTTCTATTTGTTCGCAAAGAAATTAATTCCATTATGAACAAAAATATATGATTTAATTTTTTTTTATTTGTACATAATTTGATTGAAGTTATGCATCGTCCGATTTTTTAGTAACCTTTTTAAAAGATTTAAGATACGTTAAGAATTGCATAAAATACTAAAACAACATGTTTTCTTATTTTATTCATAAATCCTAATATTGATTAGTTAAAATATTTACCTATTTAACTTGATAAATATAACTAAAAGAATTTGATTGAACTTAAAAATGTTTGTATTCATAATTTGTTGATAAAAGTTATGACTATAACGAGTGTTCGGTTATAAACAGCAAATTAATTATGGTACCTATACAGATTTTAATTACTTCTGGTATTGAATGCATTCATTGGGTACTTGTAATGAAATAAGAATTTGATAAAATTTTAAAATAAAAATGTTTCTTTTTTTGTGTTATTTATTTATTTTTCTTATTTACGGTAATGGGGCCTCCCGGGCATAGCTCCTGAGCTCCATTCCTTGGACACGCCACTATACATAAAGTGTGCAATCGCACCTTAACACGAGCCGAATATTGCAATTCTTTGAGGTTTCGATACAAACCGACAGGATTATGTTGTGCAAGCTGAAAGGTTGAATTACCACATCTTAAATCGCCACCAGAGCCACTGGCATCATTGCTTTCTGGCCAAGAACCTTGATTGAAGCATTTCTTGTACAATTAAAATAGTATAACAGTTGCTTCCAAATGACATGAGGTGAATATTATTAATTTAGGTTTCAATCCCACTTATAATATAAATTAAATTAAAAATAAGTTAATGTAACGCGTTTATTACCAAGCTTTATGATAAACGCATTAAATTTAATACTACCTGCAATATTGTTTTGTAAAAAAGTTGTCTAGTAAAAATAAGTGTGGTACAGTACTTAGGTATACCAACGTAAATTTAAATATTTTATATTCACAATTTACACTTTATTTACATAAAATAAGTGTTTAAATATTTATTTCATTAATTAATTTAAAATTAGTAATATTTTGGAGTTTGATAATAATTGTCATATGATTGTTGTTTGTAGTACGGTTCATATGATTGCTCCTTGTGGTAGTATGGTTTTTCTGGGGCCTTAGTTTTTGGTGTGAACGGATTTTTTGCTGGGTCCGTATTCAAACTAAAGAAACAAATAGTATACATTATTTATTATTAAAGTATACAATATTTTGGCCCTTAGAGATTATTGTTAAGATGTTAAGATTGATAAGGTATTTTTTAAATGTTTGTTTTCTATTGTTACGTTATAGCGAAACTTCGACTCCCGAACCGAAAATGTTAAAATGTTTTTCATCAATATTGTTCGCTTTTGTGTCGCGTGCTCTTTAACTCGCGTCAAAAAAACCGACACGGAATGGAGTGTGCACAAGGTAAGACGAGACAAGATGACGTATGTGAACCGAAGACTATAATATCTTGCTCATACTACCTCGTGTCGCCTTGACGAGAGTGTAGAGCTAAACATTACAATTAATAATTTATAGTGATAAATAATAGTACATATAAAGTGTTCTAACGATTTGTTATTTTATCATTAAAAATAATTGAATTACAATGAAAATATTTTGAAACCTAAATGAAATTATAAACAATCTACATCTACTTACACGTGTCACATTGTAAGCTGGAACTTCTAAATATCTAATCTCGCAGCATTTAAGTGATGTATAGGATTCGTAAGTTTAATAATTCTGGCGGTTACCAATTGCCTATTCTGTGTTTACTAAAGTACTAGATTCCCCTCAAGGAACATAAATTATATAAATAAATGAAATAATGGTATCTATCTAATGGATATTGGATATATAATATACATTTTTTCAAGCCATCAGTATTTGTGTTATTAAATTGTTAGCTATGTAAAAAGTACCCTTAAGTTAATCGACAGCCGATTTAATTTAAACAATTATTTCAAAACAATACAAAAATTGAGATAATATGTAGGTATACTCACTCGTAATAGTACGTAGCCTTGCTACAATCCACATTATACCACCAGTCGCAATTGAATTCCTTTTGGTTGAATAAAGTACCGTTAGCGCACAAGAAAGATGCTCCCTGATGACCCTCACGACCATCATGACAAGTGTGATAAGCCTGAAAGCATAATATAAAATTAAAATTTTATAGTACCTAATAAATTATCATTTAGGTATTACTTGAATATCTGTAAAATTTAATATCTCGAACACATAGCACTCGGATGATGTGAAAACATATATATGACCTTCGAATTATAGATTTATCATGTAGAAGTTGAAGTAAATATTTTTAATTTAAAACACGTGTTTTCATATTATTTGTAAGATAGGATTGAAAATGTTTAAGAATTATATTTGTTTAAAGAGAGAACGCATTCTATGCCACCGTTCTATCTTTGTCTAGCCGAGTCAGTGAGCGGTTATCTAATGGTAGGTGAGTTTCGGGGTACGATCATAGGCGCAACTAGGGTTTTTAGTACCCCTGAATTCAAATGTAGCACGCCTGTTTTTTTTCCAGATCTACATTATCTATATTAATTACAGTTAAATACCATTTTATTTTATTTTCAGCAATTTCAGCACCCCCAGTATTTGGACTCTTAGTTGTGCCCATGGGTACGACAGCGGTTGGATGGTAATATGTGGCCACCTAAACTTCCCTCTCCATGTCGTCGTGCCATGCTACAGTTTTGTTACCGAACCGATATCGTAAACATGAAAATTTAATTTTTCTAATAACTAGTTAATTTAATTCTTTAACTTTTCTCATTAAATGCTTCCTCTGCACACAAAGTACTCGCGTTAAAAAAAAAAAAAACTGCGAATTGGTCCAGTAGAACTTCAGATATAACTGTTATAAAAATCGCCTCTCCTTATAATGATATAATAGATATCAAGTGTAACGCGAAAAAGGTAACGCTTAAAAATTTTCACTGGCCAAGTGGAAAAATCTGAACGCCGTATTAAAAGTTTTCTCATCAAAAAATGAAGAAGATAAATTATTATTATAATAGTTTATATTTCATTGAAAAATTATTAACTTTATTATGAAGCTTTATAATATTGTATCATATATACAGTGGCGTATCCAGGATTCATTTAACGGGGTGTTTTAAAATTGAATAGACTTATAGTAAGTGCGGGTTCTGCCCCCCCCCCTCACGTATTAAATTTATAAATACTATGTATAAATTTTTATATATTTATATAAATTATTATATTAATGAAAATTATTTTACTTATACTTATGTTTATTTAAATTATACCGTAAGTAAATTTGCAATTTGGTGAAATACCATAAAATACGGTCGATGGGGGGTGTTCCAACCCCCATATCACGCTCCTAAATACGTCCCTGCAAACATAGATTGCAATACTAAAAAACTAAAGAAAAATGATTGGATGTTTAGACTTTTAAATATTTTTAAGATAAATAGTTATCATTCTATTCAATTTTTATCTATTTCACTATTCACTCATTGATGAATTTAAGGAGGGACGAGGATACGAACGTATAAATAACTAAAAAAGAAGTCGAATTATTAAATCACAAAATAAATCTATCTGTTTAGTGATCAATTGTATAAGTAAATTCATAACGGATTGAGAGATAATAGTACAAATTTAAATTTATAAATATAAATATTTAATAATAGAAAATCATTATTTTTTTTAAATCAATTTTATGGTAATGATTTTTGGGTAAATATTTAGAAATTAGCTATTTTATATTGTAACATTTCACATTTTCAACGGAATACAAATAATATTTATAGTTATTAGTAATTATAAGTTATAAATATAATAAAAATACCCTGTTCGAATATGTTATATTATAAATGTATTAATCTTTTTAGACTTTCACCTATACATAAATAACCTGTTATTGCAAGTAACTAAGTAAGTTCAGTAAATCGTGTATGTGTTTAAAATGGATAAAACTCGTGATGAATATTGCACAATTTGTATAAGATAAGATTAATGACGAAATGTAGTTGCAATAGCTTGATAATTAAAATACTGTGGTAGTTATATAAAATATACGTTCATTAATCATTATTCAATTTGAAATATAAGTTGGTACTATATATAGGTATAACATGTAATGAGGTCAAGATTTTGACTTTAACGAATAAAGTATGCTTTACCTACTAATTGCAAATAAGCAAGGATAGGTAATAAAATTTTAACTCAGTTAATTAAATTTTTAGTTAACAGTTAAAATAATTGACTAGTTAAGGTATTCTTCTTGAGACTTTAGCTCTGCCTAATGTAGCGTTTTTAATACCTACAAATGTATATAATTTATTAGTTGTACAAGTGCTAATATCAATATCTTTCCCACAACCTCACAGATGAAATATCTAGGACTTATACTCGAAACACGCTTAACATAGTGGCCTCACCTAAAATCAAAACATAAGACACTAAATAGCCGTCTACAAGTCTACATGTGCTTCGCTATATATTTAAATCTAAGCTATCAATCCATACAAATTCCTATTAACTCCTTAATTAATAAATTAACTATCATGCTCTGAAGGGTTCTATCAATGGATAATTTCCCCTACTAAGTCACTCCGCTGCTGTAAATATTGTATTTGTACGAAGCCCTCATTTTTACTTATTTTGTTTTTTTCCAAATACAAATTTAAGTTTTCTTAAAATAAAAAATAAACAAAAAAATCAGTTCCTAAATACTTGAAGCTGATTGAAAAAATAAAATAAAAACAAGTCAATCAAACAATCAAAATGTATATTGAATTTGAAGTTCAAATGTAATTTCGAAATATTGACACCTATTTCATTAATCTTCCAGCACTATGATTTAAGAGATCTTGAATCGAATCCAATACTGAGTAACCGTTCTCCATGTATTGGGTGGTATTATACTTTTTTAAGGTTTAATTTAAAGTGTCAGCCCGTAGTCTTACATCATTGGTGAGAGGGTACTTACCGAAAGATAGATTTAGGAGTTGCTTATTTTTTTTGTAGTTCACTAGTCAACCATAAAGAGCACTAGCGAGTTTTACATACTACATCTGTCTACACTGTAGACTCTACAGAGTACAGCTAGTCATTATTCACTGTAATTGTAATATGAAATTCATGGCGTTATGGTCTTTGTGCTATCTAATCATCGTTGTTTTCCTGTTATTATCAGGTTTAATATGTTTTTATCTTTGAATTTGATTGAATTAAATATTAAATAATATTTAAATAATATTAAATATTTAATAATTTTTCTCTTATTTCTGATGATTTTATATACTTTATTCATGTATAAACTTGTAGCGTTATAAAACAAAAATATTTTTCTGGTTATGAAAATTCAAAGCTTACTTTTTTATGCAAAAATAAGAAAAATAATGAATCAAATAATCAAGAAAGAAATGAGTTTGGTTAAGTTAATTAATTAATCAGTTAGAAATAAGTTCATAAGTTAAACAAACTTAACAATTAAGTTCTAACTTACTTATACCCTTAACTCATACTCTTGGATAAAAAAAAACAAAATAAGAATTAATTTTATAATTGTATAAAGCTTACATAGAGTCTAGTTTAAGTATTCTATAGGCTATATGATATAATTTATATTTCAGTTCACATTTTTATATAAGTACACCGAAAAATTACCGCTATTCAATAATTTAATTTATTTTTTATTATTATGTACAATGTACGAGTACAATAGTATGTTCACTGTATAATATTATATATCCATAAAAATTCAAATATTTTGTTCAAATTTTATTTTGGGACAAATAGGTTTTTAAATATCATTGAGTCAATGCGGATCTGAAGTGAATCTTAGATAGCATGACACCAGGTATCTAGAAACGAGTTTTTATATGTATAATACCTACCGCGGTTGATGGCAGTCTACAGCCATGCATAATAAAAGACCTATACGAAATTTACATAATTATTTGTATAGAACATAATATTACTTAAGTGCCCAACTAATAAGAAATACGAGTACCTCTATAATTTTTACTTATATTAGAATATTGTATACATGAACGAGTATTATGTTTTAATAAGTAATATTCGTTATACATTAAAATAAATACATTCAGTTATTGTATAATTTTAGTTTAACACTTTCATGAGTGTTGAAAATCCATTCAATGATTTTACATTCTATAAAGAGTTTGAATATTTTATTATTATATGTTTTAAAAATACAAAGAATTAATATATAATATAATATTTATATAAAAATAATAATAATTTTATTATTGCATGAAAGGTATACCTAGTTTATAATGTAATAGAGTGTATGTAATCACGCTATAAATTACCAGAGATTAAAAAGCCACTCGTAATCTATTTCATGTCTTATAAAGGTATAACGAACACTTTCCATAATCTTTACCTCACATTTAAAGTTGTTTTCACAATCATCAACATGTAAGTATTATGTCATTGATGACATAATGATTAAGGTTTTAATATACTGATTTTTTTAGTCAATACATTAACTATATTAGAGTTAAATACAAATAGGTACCCACTTTTTCACAAGAGATATAAGTGCGTATTTCATGGTTTGATTTTAAATTATTTTAGATAAATGTGGACAGGTAAAAATTGCGCATAATATAATACACACATGTTTTGGTTTTCTTATATTGGTGGCGCAAATTACATGCATTAGGCGTCGTAATCGTACTGTATTATATTGGCGCCGAAAATGTATTTATATTTTTATTAAAGAGTTTTCATTCATAAAATATTACAAGGACGCAGACTATATAATACTACCATCTGCTAATAAATAATATCTTGTTTTAAAAATTATTATAATTTTTTTTTTCCCGTAGATATAACCATTATCATTCAAACTGTACCTGACATCCGGTCTCTACGTTAGCATACATTCCGGGGACGTATGGTACGTCTTTACAATTGAAACTTGTCTCTGGTACCGCGTGGTAAATGGGGTAGTCTACACCCGGTGTACCAGGAACTTTGCTGAGATCTTGGTGGCTTTCATCTTTGTGAGAATATCCGTTGGAATATCCACTGTACGCTTGTCTCTATACAAAGAAGTAATTACAGTTTTGTACAACGAAAAATATCTATAATTTGTGGAATGAGCGATTTACACGTGATAATGCCTAAAGTGAGGTATCATCGATGGACATTTGTAAATTGTAAAAATATATTTAACGCATAATGTAATATTGCAGGTTTTACAAATTATAATAAAAGAACAACAAATTATGTTTAACGTCAAAACTTATTCAATTTAATCTGCCTTTTCAAAGTTCCATTATTAGTTCATACTTTCTCGTGACATTACCAGTGTTCGATTTAACAATTAAAGTTACAGTTAGAGCCATCTCTTGGATTAGTTCCTTATTTCTACGATACGTAAACAACGCGAATATAATGTGCGTAAACCAATTTCGAGCACAACACATTCGATTCTTCCAAAATTTTAACAAAACAATGGTGTATCAATTGTTTTTCATCCGCTCCAAACTGCGCACTGAAAACTTCTTTTGGTTGATTTTCGGGTAACGTATGGCATGCATGTGAATTTTTTTAATATGACCCATGGATTTTATGCGCGCACACGATATTTACGTTCTATTGCTGTTGTACGCACGTTCGGTGTGAGACTGACTAACATTTTATGTATCAGTTAAAAAATACACCCGTAACAGATTAACTTGCAAGATCGATAAGCGTTCCTACTGAAGGGTTTTCTCGCTCGTGGTAGTCGTCACACAGTCCTAAGTATGGTTTACCTGTTTCAAAGCTGCGTCAGTGGCGCACACGATCACCGCGACCGCGACGATCGTTTTAAAAAACATGTTGAACTGGAAATGTGTTGTGCTCCGAGTTTATTACAATGTACTGCACGGTCTCGACGAGGATTTAAAATCGCAATGGATAATGTTGCCCGCGACGTGCAGTGTTTCTGTTGCAGTAATGCGTACGCGAAAAACGACGAGACACGACTGTAGCATCCATGCGTGTTGCGCGCGCGAAGTCGTCTCGGAACGGGTTGTTACAGCCTTCTTACGTCTGCAACAGGGCACGCGGGAAAGGTCTTCTTGCGACACGAGTTGCGCACGGAAAAATAGGTGTCGGCCGCCGCTGGAAAGGTGTATGTATGGCCATGTACAGGTTTTTTTTTCATCCTCACAACTCTTATATTTAGTAGATTTTATACAGTCGTGAGTATATTATTATTATATTTGTACCTACGTAATTTTCTAGGTCTCGAATGTCATGTGAAAAGTATACAAGTGTATAATTCGAGTGTACACCTATAGACGATCGACGAAAATATTATTACCCGTATTATTTTCATTATTGTTATTATTATTATTATTATTATTATTATTACTATCATTATTGTGATCATTATCTAATTACAAGCAATATAATTTAGAGGAACAACGATTGTCGTACACTTTTTAACCATATAAAAATACAATACAAATTCAAATTAAATATAATCGCTGTATAGTTGAAGCAACTTCTTTTTAGGCTTTTGTGGAAAATAAAACGAGAGACGAAAAACTATAAAAGAACAATTATTTTATTTTCACTATATAGTAGATAATTATTAAACACGTACTTATAATTATTGTATTTTTGTTATATTAAACCTGTATATGTTTGCTTGTTTGTGCTACAGTAAAATATTTGTAAATCTGATTGTGTACCATTGCTTCATAAACTACAATTGAATTATAAATATACAAATTTTTATTGGACAACAAACATTGTTTTTTAACTTAAGCTAACTGTGGAAACTCGGATCATTAAATTTTACATGTTTGTTTTAGTGCAGTAGCACGGTAGTTTTGTCTTTGTGGTTTGTTTATAGGATATTTTTATTTGTGTGGTATGAGTTTTTATTTTTTTACAAATTTTAATAATTTTTTTTTTTTAATTGGACAACAATTATGTTTCTATAATGTTTAATATCATATAAATTATCAAAATATACATGTATGATATTTACACATCATAAGTTTAATATAAATCTCAAAAATAAAAATACAAAATACCTGTAATCAATTGAAATTTAAAAAATTATTGTGTTTATTATTCCCTGTTGTTCGTGTATACTAATTGGTCAAATCGGTTTTCAATACTGACTATACATAGGTTAGGACTACAGAAGATATCGGTTAGCGAAATTAACAAGTGATTGTCGGTTTTGATTTTATAATAGTAAAATAACCAATTGTCATGATTATTTATTGCAAAAACGAATGCACTTAACTACCTATAGCACTGTAACATTATGATGACGTTATTCTTATACATATCTGGTACATATTAATCAAACATTTGAACACAAGGGCGTGCCTATTCATATACGCAACACAAAAAGTCACGAAATTATACGAACCATAGAGTTTGGTTTTAAATCATTGTATAACTCGTATTTTGATTTCTAAATAAATAATGAGGACATCGTAAATACATATGTATATTGTTGTATAATTTGTATCGTATTCATATTAACCAGGGTCCATGACGAAAATGATTATAGTATCCGATTAGTATCTATTATAAGGCATAGGGGATATTAAGCAGTGGTGTAGGTAAGGGGTAATTTTAAAAGTTCAAACCTCCCCCGTTGCAGAAATTCCAGATAGTAAATGGATTGTCTGTAATAAAACTAATTATTATCTTAGTATATAAAATCACTTCCTCCATAAATAATCTTTACTTACGTCCTTGATATTAAGCTACGGAAAAAAATTACTTAAAAATAGTATAGGTACAACTGTGTTTTATTTTTAGTATTGTAAATCATTTAATACAATATTTTGAATTGTGTACATTTTGATTCTATAGTGGGCAATGTATTTTTGTGATTTTTCAGTCCGCTTAATACATTATATGTACACTTGAAGGTCGCACAAGTGATTAAAATGTTTATATGCCAATATGCACGTTGCCTTCAGTTTTTAAAGATATGATCTTTACAACTATTGTAGTGTATAAGTATATACTTACTATTTACACAACAGACACATTCACATGATGTTAAAAATATAATCATATTATAGATATTACCAATAGTCATTACTCCCGTTCTCGTACATAGAACTAATAGATACTTGCATACAATGATCAAAAAGCCTTCGAGCGTTAACATAATGGTGTGTCTATACATCTACTTTCACTATAAGACGGTAATATTAAATAAGAGTTAAACGCCATGAATTAGAAAATATTTTTTCATTACTTTTTCAAATAAAAATTGAATATACCTCTATTACGCAATAATATTTGTTGTTATATTTTAGAAAATATAACATACTATTGTGTCAGTATTAAATAATAATTTATTTTTTTACTAAAAATATTATTCAAAAATCATACTTTATATCAAGTTTTCTTTGAACAATATTTGTGTAACGTTTGGTAAATGATCCATATGCACGTTTACTTATACGTGTACGGAAATATTGGTAATATTATAATATTACTGTTTTTCCAATTGGTGACTGTAGTCACAGTTAGAACTTAGAAAGTTATTACGCCAGATTATATTATAACTATAAAGCCATGTTTATAGAAATCAGTTCGATGTAGATAAAATATATATAACTGTAATACCATCGTAACTCGATAACTTTATATCCGTGATGAAATGTTGAACGATAAATGGATAAAAATATGTAATTTCAGAAGGCTGTACATAATTTACAAATCGTATAAGTATACTAAGGTAAGTATTTTATTATTATTTAGTTATGTACTATGTTTTATACAAAGTAAAACAATTTATATTAATGATGAATAATGAAAATACTTTCTGTATAATATGTATTGGAAAATGCACAGGATTAATGATGACAAATCTTTAATGACCTATACTAGTATTTGTAGACCTTCAAATATATATACTGACTTTATTTGATATTATCGATAGGATTTCTTTTAACCATTTATATAAAAGTGTCATAAGCGCAAAAAGGGAATTTCAATGGGAGGAGGAGGGGATTTAGCCCTACCGTTCTTAACCAAAAATTATAAGTTAAGGCTTTGTCACCATACCTTTAAATGATCCAAAATAATCATTAAATTATTATTATTAGTTGTAATCATTAACAGCTGTAATGTTGCAAGATAAAAACTAAGTAATAAAATAACATTGTTTTTGTTATTACAATTTATACCGTAAAGAAATATTATTTTGTAAAGGAATATCTTCTGACACGTTCTGTTTTTTTCAAAATATTCTTATTTATAATGCACCTACTACATAGGTCATATTTGTATTTTTTTCCTAAAATTATATTAAAACGATAATTAATTCGGGAGGCTAAATTCACATTAGGGAGAGGGAGACTAGTCCCTCAAGTTTCACCCCATTGTCATTCCAATATACCGAATTATTTGTAAATTTAAAAAAAGCACTAAAAGTATTATGACAAGCATTATTATTTCATGATTTTTAAAATTTTCAGTTATACGTTTTAAACTTTCAATTTTTTGAGACTTATCATTCTAATAATAGCATATAGAAATATTTTATTATATGTAAGTTTTCATATATTAATGATAAATACTTATACGTAGATAAAAAAAATAATGCAATACCCATGCGTATTATTCAAATATTCAAATATCGTACATTTCCCCCTGTACTCTTCAATTATATAATAATTAATATTCATAACAATAATAAATTCATTACTGCGAAACGGTAATTGTAGGTTCGGTACATGGCAATGTATGATAACTGATAATATTATTGTTTTCATGGTGTGTTTTAAATTTAACTGCAGTCGAATCTATTTTTAATCTCCGATATTGAAATCGAAAATTAAAATCTGTCAAAATAATATTATAAATATAGTTAACTAAAAAGAATATTATAATATTATCTGTACATAGTATTAAAGCTGTGAAATGATTTCGTATGGGTACTATTTATATTATTTGTCATCATCCACTACTTTTATATATAATCATATACCTAGCCTATAGATTTTATTATAACAAGAATATTGATTTATGCCTATTGTGTTAATCTTATTTTTTAATTAATAGCCCAACCAAGAGCACTATTTGTTGAAAATGTGTACGATTCATTCTATAGAATGATTTCAATTTGTCTGAATTTTGATTCAATTCCTTTATTCATTTGGTTCGCAGGATGCATCCAATATCGTCTTTTTTTTTTTTTTTATTAATCTTCTTTTTTCTATTTGACCACCGCAGAGCAATAACGTCGTCATCGGACGACATCTTTAGATCGACTATAATAAGCTGTATAAACTAAACGGCAAGTAGGTGAAAAAATATTTATGAAATAAATTTATTCTGTGTGTATCGACTATGAAATATGTTTCATGTGATGAATTGTATAAAACAAATTTCTTTAGTGTGTCACAAGCCTTAGATTTACTTTAGGCTTCTATTTCCATTACCCAAATAATAATGTAATCGAAATCGATAACAATTAATTTCGACTACTCTATATCTATAATAGCACTGGTATAGACTTATTTGCAGAAGCGCATTTAAGAAGGGGTGGAGGGGGCAATTTCCACGGGCGCCAACCTTTTAGAGACAAGTCAAAATTTATTTCTGTTTCCATGATTAGTGACTTTTATTATAAAAATTGATATAAGATATATCTTAATTTAGTGTTATTGTTTTTTGTTTTTATTGGGGGGGAGGGGGGCAGAAGAAATGAAATATTTTTTCCTGGACGACTTTTATCTAAAAGTGGCACTGCTTGTTTGCATTGAAGTGGTACATCACATCATTATATATTATTATGATCTGGAAGACTGGGGGAGGTATCCACTAAAAAATTTCTTCGAGTGTGTGCATAGATTATAAAACTAAATAATTTATCATCAAGAACAGTTACAGAATAAATCAAAAAATATTACGACGAAAACATTTAGTTCTAATTCAAATAACACAAAATATTTATTTTAATAAATATACCAAACATTTGTATTATCTAATGATTCCTT